TAACAAAATTTTGTGTGAATTTACTTTAATTATAAAAATGACACAATCAACAATTAAGTGAAGCCAAATTTACAATTTGCATTGTATCATTGTGACATTTTTCTAATGTTTTTTATTTTTTTTTCTCATGTTTGCACCTCTAAAATATTGGAAATATGGGGAACAAATTAGCTTAATAATAATGATTTTACAAAAACTGTCGCTGCCTCCCTGGCTATTAACCTGTACAAATAATTTAAGTGAAAGTTTGTTTCTAAGGGTAACTTCCCAGACAGCACATATATCCATTGGACGTCCAGCGGACGAATCTGTGTATCTTCTATTATTTTAGCATGAACTAGAGAACGGTTTTTTTTTTTAGATGTGAAGAAAAACTAGAAAAAAAAACGTTTTTTTTTTCAAATCCGCTACAATAAAGCATATTCTGTCAATAAATTACATCAATCTTAAAAAATGGAATAATTTTTCAAAATGAAATTTTAAGTAAAATGTATATTAATAATAAAGTGAAATGTAGAATATATTACATTTTTCATTATTGAAAATTTTGACCTAGACTAAAAAATCTGATTTCTTATCATTTAATAGTTTCCACATAAGAAACCAATAGCAATGTAAAACTTCTACACTAATAGAAAAAATTAAAGGATAAAAAAAGTTCCAAATTTTTTGCGATGGAAAAAAAGTAATTTGAAGCTTGAAGTTTGGAGATTTTTAGATGAAAAACGTGCAACGCTCAATTCTAACGAATACCTACCGTAATAAAAAAATTCGAAATTTGTTTGGTTTTCTTTTTTGGTCCACTTAATGTTCTGACTTAAGCCTCATTCAGAACCTCGTAATTAGTGGAAAAAATTAGTGGTTTCAATTATACTTATAATTAACACAAAACATCTAAAATTAAGGGAGTGTGCTAAAAGATTGTTCAATTCTCTTAACCGTAACAGTAACTGATAAACAATTGAAAATCATCATTTATAAAAAGTTTGGTACGAAAATCCTAAAAATTTCATAAATTGTCGTAAGTAATATCATAAGGGGTCTATTCTGTAACTTTTTAGTTATGTTTATCGGCTGGGTTATAAGTTTATTTATAACCAAATCGATATAATTTTAACTGTAATTTCCATTCTGTAAGTTATGAATATAACTATTAGTTATTTTTAACTTCATATCGAACATGGTTAAAACTCTTAGTGACATTAGCTACAAACTTCAACGAACTTCAACGAACCATCTTCAACAATGACAAATGTAATACTTATTAGGTGTTTACGGAAAAATGTACTACCTAATTTTTAATATAAATATTAAAACCTTATGATTTACATGATATCTTATTAAGTAAATGTTAAATTAAAGAAAATAAATCCTTCCATTTTAAAGTTAGTGTGGCAACAATGCGTAGCCAACTTCGTGTTTATTATTGACGGGATAACTCAAGTACTGTCAGTGTAGTTTCTTTATAATCTGTGCAAATGAGTTCGGTTTTGTACGCCGTGGGCTGCGTATCGCTCGATGAAAAGTATGAAACATAGCTGACTTTGCGAACCGGGGGGTACAAAATTGGATTCCCGGTGTAGAAATATACCTGTATTTTTTAACAATATCGCAAGCTTTGATCTTTTAGTGAGGTATTTTGTGAATTGTATAAATGATTGAATGGATGTTTCAAGATTGAAATTTCCACATTGTCAAATGGCGGAGGTAGTTCTTTCTGAAGCCGTGAGACGTTAAAACAAGCATATGGTCACATGGACTAGATTCCAAGCACCAAGGTTGAAAATACCGAAAATAGAAAGAAAGAAGAAGAATAATCTGTGCAAAGATGGTGAAGGCAGTTAGAATATGGAAAACATTCATACGTTCAACTATGCCTATCCGGAAAAAGCCCATAAGAAGAAGGCTAAAAAAAATCAAGATATACTGCTCCGGCAGTTGATAGCCAGCAACTTTGCAGTGGCAAAGGGGCTTAATAACATTCCAAAGGCCATTAGAAGGCAATAATAAAGACAATTTGTGGCTGCTGGAGCATTTTGGGTAAACTTATATGAGTTTATACTGACATTAAATGAACAAGTTCTGCGCAAGAAGAATTTAAATTGAAGTTTGCGAAAAAGTTATTTTTTCAGCGTGCCCCCTAATTACGATTATTCAATCACTTTCATACGTTCACCAGCGTTTAATGAAAAAATTTTAAAATTTATTAATAAGTAGGTATTACAGATTTTATACCATTTTAAATTTTTATTAACTTAACTATATTTAAAAAAAAATAAAAATGGTATAAAATACTCTTGGATTTTCAAAATAAATTTTGACACAGTAGTGAATTATAAATTTCACCTCTTTAATTTGAATAATCTTAAATAGGGGGTGCCAAACTAACTTTTTCAATTTAAATTCTGCTTAGGCAGAACCTGTCCATTCAATGTCATTATAAACTCATATAAGTTTGGTGTGGGTCCCATCATGGGACTCCCATGTCTAATAACTCAGATGTTGGTATACCCAAAATCCACCAGCTGCCAAACTGAAAAAGTTCCTAATTTTTTATGTGTACCTTTTATTTGTAAATGATTTTTAATTTTTATTAACATATAAATAGATATGTTTTTTTTATTTAAAGTTTGAATATATGTATATTATTTTTTATTAAAATATATTATTTTAGTTAGAATACCTACTTATTATTTTATTAGAGTATTTTTATTATTGCAACATGAGTGCAATCAATGCTGCCTACAATCCCAGGAAATCCATAGCGATAAAAAAATTAATGTTTAAGGGGTGGAGGGAAAAACTATCCATCTTTGTAAAAGAATATTATTAATAACATTACACACCTCTGATATGCAACGACTAACTGATGATTGGCTCATTGTAAAATGAAAAGTAGTACTAGTATCCAGCTGGTAACCCCCATGTCCTAAAAATTTTAGTGTGCACAATATTTTTAGATGGGCAGGTATTCCAGTGTTTCTTAATTCATCATTCATATGTGGTAAAAGATTTTCGATAAGAAAATAAGTAGCTTCCTTGTTAAGTCTAAATAATTTTAAGAATGTAAATTGCGATTCATTATTCGTGCCGCATTATTAAATAAAAAAAAAATAATAAAATACTCAGGGTTCTAGGGTATGAAATAGTTTATGTAATTAATAGCAAAAAAGTTTAGTACTAATAATTTGTAAAGGAAATTATTCTTATAATGCACCTTTGAAAGTGTTTTTTATTTAAATCTAAATTATAACTCAAAAGTTATTTTTATCGCCTACTAATATACCTCACGATATACATTTCTGAATAACCAGCGTTATATCGGCAACGGGTTAAATTTTAAACCAAATACGAAGTTACAGAATCGTTGCTAAGTAATATTTTAACAAAAAGCATGAGTGCTGGTGGCAACAAAAATCCGAGTCGAAGAGGAGGATTTTTGCACCTGCACGAATGCATTTTGTTAAAAAATATTACTTAGCATTGTGTTTTTTCGATTTTTTTCACAGGAAAAATTAGATGCCCGAATGGTATTTGACAAGACTATTTCATGAGTAACAGTTAACAATTAAAATATAAATTGCAATTTTTGGTGACAACAGCTGTCAAGTTTTGCCGCGGGTAAACTCGAATAAACTGCTGACAGGTGCTGTCACACAGTTTTTTCACCTAGAAACCATTTGTAATTCAAAATTGCGCGTTTGTGATTGGTGGAAATTAAGACGAGGGAAATAGTCAATGTAAACCCTTTATATCTCAACAAATATCAATCTTCAACTGATAAGACCTTTTTTAAAGAAAATTAAATTTTCCACAAGTTTGTCCTTTACATTTCTTCAAACAATCCAGTCGCTTTTAAAATATCTTCAAAAATATGAGAATTTTCTACTAAAATAAGATTTACTGAACCGTACCATCCTACAGGTGCAGATTACAGCTATGGCACATAAATCAATTTTGTAGAACTTTTGATTACGATTAAATCCCTTTTTGAAAAAATCCAATAGTATAAAATGCGGCTGAGATATAGATATTTAAAAAAGTTTATGTGTATTTTAAATGGGAAATTTTTATACGCTTTGGTAGAGTACTTTAAGTTAATATGAAGGGCTCAAATTTTCAGGGAATTTTTTTTTAACATTTTCAACAAGATTTTGAGTTGGGAGAGAAAAAATAAAAATAGTCGTGAAAAAATCACCCTAATGTTAATATATATTTTGGATCCTTTGGCAAAACATGAAAATGCAACGATTTGAATTACATTTACAATTAAAAACACAATAATTCACCATGATCACATAAATAAAATACACACGCTTACGTAACTATATAAGCATCTAAATCCATGATATAAGGAATAATAAATCGAAATCGAGTACCTACTAAACTATTTACGTACTAAACTATTTACGTTACGTGTGCGATTTTACTGGGCAATTGAAACTGCGAACAAGATTTGTCGAGTAAGACTTCTGCTTTCCTCTCTTTGTCAAAAAAACTATGTATTCTTTAAATATATTGTTAACAATTCTTGAATTCCCTAGATGGCGCGCACGTTGCAAAAACCCGATGCTCCTTTAGCGTACACATTGGGGTGATTCATTTCCGCAAAGTTTTTGTTTTTTCGGTGCTCAAGCAAAATATTAATCTGCATATAGAAAAAAAAGCTCTTAATTTTAATTTTAAGTAGTACTTACTATTTAAATTTAAAGTTTTACCGTTTGAAATGCATGTAAAAATATTCTTTTTTTTCAAATTTCTAATGCTTACCCACCCTTTACAATATTGCAAATCGGTTTGATGGACCTTGTGGGGAATTTTACGCTCTTCAAATTTGCTTTAAAGTTTTTTTTTGTGTAACTCGCATTGGTTCATCTGTAGGAGTCGTCAAAGTACAATTTTTTTTATTATTATTTTTTATTTGAAATACTTATTACTCGTACTTACAAACCCAGGGTTCGTAGCGACCGGGAAATCCGGGAAAAGTCAGGGAATATAAAATGAGTCTAAAAAGTCATGGAAAAGTCAGGGAATTTAAAGAAAAAACGAAAAGTCAGGGAAAAGTCAGGGAATTATCTGTAAATAATACTAATACTTAAAATAATAATAATAATATAAAAGAAAATAATATTTACTTAATCCCTACGCAATCTACATTATGATTTAATATAAACGAAATGCTTGGGCAATTTTAATGTAAACTACCTAATCGTGTAACTGTCAGTTTGTCTTTGACAAAAGTCAAAGTAACATTACAAGTCTTTCTCGTAATTGTGAAAAATTGTTTTTCTACGACCACTATGTAAAAGTCACTTTTCATGATGGCATCTTTGCTTAGAAAATGAATCTTTTCATTGGCAAGGCAAAACACGAATGTAAAGTGACATTTCTGTGTGAAAAGTGACAGGTCTGTGTGAAAAGAAATTGACAGCATCGTTTGACATTCAGCTGTCAAACACGTTTTTAGGTTATTTTGTTTTGTATTTAAAAATAATAAAAAATAAAAGGGTCGTAGAAAAAACATTGTGTTATACTTGTGAGAAAAGCTTTCTTCAAGCTCGTGTTAATGCACACTCGGCCTAACGGCCTCGTGAGCAACTTAAAAACTCGCTTTGTAAAACAAATAACTATTAATGACGGAAATCAAGGTTCTGAAAAACAAAAAACAAAAATTAACTGAAGGAACCAACCATGAAGTGGACGACCAATAGACGTCTACAAATTTTGAGAGAAAAAGTTTAAAATAGTTATTTGACTTATTTTTGTATTTTGTTTTGTTTGTATTTACGAGAAATATGCTCTATGTTTTGTTATAACTATTAAGTTAAATTTTAAAAGATCTAAAAAAAGTTTTGTTTTTGAATTACATATATTATAATATGAATTATGCTATATGTCTTTATTTTTGTGCTTATGCCATAAACTTTATGGTCTGTTATTAAAGCTGCAAAGTATAAATTCTATTTTTTATTTTTTTCCTATTTGCCTGAATATCAATATCAATATCAATTTTTGACACCTTCTACAGTCTATGGAAAAAGCTTGAGAAAGTTCTGGAAAACCTGGAAAAGTCAGGGAATTTTATACGAATTCAATAGTATGAAACCTGAAACCAAATTCAATGTACTCGTAAAAAATACTCGTGGAATTCACGAGTAATATATACGAGTATTTTCGTTTATTATATGGATGACTTTTTGCCAAAATATCGTAAGCATCAAAACATTTTGTATGAAAGTCTGTTTTAAATTATATAATATATATTATACGAGCCCTAACCACATAATGTTCGGACACTTCATAATTTATACAGAAATTTTTTTCGTGAATACTATCTCAAAAGTATTAGAAGTTATGAAAAATTCAGCTTATTTTGGCATATACCCCTCGAAGCGATTTTTATTTTTAAAAAGTTTACCTTTTATTTTTAGCTTTTAAAAAAAGGCTAACTTTTTAACTTTTTTTTGTATGAGTAAAAAAAGTTATAAATGGACCCATTAAAAAGAGCATAAAATATTATACAAACCCTGAAAATTTGGTAAAAAATAAATAAGTTATAAAAAAGTATAAGTAATTTAAAAATGCTATTTTTAAAGAGTTTTTGCAATTTTCTTAGGAAACGGGAGATTTTGCAGATATATATATCGCTATAACTTTCTTATTATTTATACAATTTTTACCAAATTTTCAGGGTTTGTATAATATTTTATGTTCTTTTTAATGGGCCCATTTATAACTTTTTTTACTCATGCAAAAAAAATTTAAAAAGTTAGCCTTTTTTTAAAAGCTAAAAATAAAAGGTAAACTTTTTAAAAATAAAAATCGCTTCGAGGGGTATATGCCAAAATAAGCTGAATTTTTCATAACTTCTAATAATTTTGAGATAGTATTCACGAAAAAAATTTCTGTATAAATTATGAAGTGTCCGAACATTATGTGGTTAGGGCTTGTATAGTATAATATAATATATTATAGCCTTTGGGTTTAATAATAAGTAAATAGATAAAATTAGAAACTATTTAAGAATTGTTATTATTTTATGTACATAATGTTTAAAATAAATAATTTTATAAATTTGTATTTGTAATTTTATAGCTCAGGACACTCTCTAAAAATTAATTAGTCAAAAATGACTAATTACCACAGTTATTAGTGGAAATTAGTGAAAATACCGTCAAAAATTATGAAAGTGGAGCAGTTTTGAGATAGTCAATTCCATCTTATATGGAAAAAGGACTATATCTTAAAAACTGTTCTACTTTTCTAACTTTTGATGACATTTTCGGATTCAGGAAACAATTTTTCATGGAAATTGACTGCTGAATGTTAAAAAAACAAATTGCTATTGACGAGAATTATTAGTGGCTGCTTTTTCGCTATGACAATTAGTCATTTTTGACTAACCCATTTTTAGAGAGTAAAGAATAATTAATTTTATTAACAAACTTTTTTTTTCAAAAGTACTCGTACTCTTTACTCGTGTTTTCACGATTACTACTTGTAACCGTAACCTCTCTTTACAAATGTACTTACGAGTAAAGTAGGTACTTACGAGTAAATATTTTAAGTACTCGTACTTAAAATTTTACGAATTTTTTTTTTTAGTACTCGTGCCCAGCTCTGATAGCAACCAATTGTTTTTTTATGAGTCGGCCCTTTTTTCTCCCTACTTTTGGCGGTTTGCTAGAAAATAAAAAAAAACGATTTTTTTCCAAAACTGTCCTTTGACGACTCCTATTGTCAAAGGCGGGTAAGCATTAGTAATTTGAAAAAAAAAAGAATTTTTTTATTCATTTTAAACGGTAAAACTTTAAATTTAAAGAGTAAGTACTTAGAATTGATATTAAGAGCCCAAACTTGGTGAGAATTTTTTTTCTATATGCAGATTAATATTTTGCTTGAGCACCGAAAAAAAAAAATGCGGAAATGAATCACCCTAGTATACATCCTGGGCTATTTTTCGTCAGACACATACACATACTTTTTCACAAAGATATTTAAACATACCCATCCACAATTTTAGATCTAAAGTAAATGATTGTGATGAAGAAAGTGACAATTCTGGCAATGGAGATAAAAGGGAAGATTTCACTTGCAATATTAAGAAAGAAGGAGGAGACTTTTTTAATGAAGATGATAAAAATAACATACGCAATGAACAGAATGGAGAAAAAGATGAGGATGAAGCGATGTTTAAGACGAAAATCGAGGTGGAATGTCATGAGGTTCAATATGATGATAAAAGTGGCAAAGAAAAGTTGTTTAAATGTGACCTCTGTCCCAAAAAATATAAACGTTATAATTGTTTATTTGTACATAAAAAGTATATTCATGAAAAAGACAGACTGAAAAAATTTAAATGCAACCAATGCGAGTATGTAACTTTAAGAAAAAGTAGTTTAAAAGTTCATTTAAAAATTCACGACACAAATAGTTATTTAAAATGTCATTTTTGCCAGTATATGACTGTTCAGTTAAGGGATTTAGAGGCACATATTTTTCGCAAACATAAATTAGAAAATAAAGGAGACAATAAAATAAAAATAACAAGTAAAATTCATCAGTGGACCAAATGTTTATATTCAACTGTTAGAAAATCAGATTATGATTATCACATATTATCATGTTTAAAATTAAAAACTGATAAATTGCATAAATGCCCTATTTGTCATTTTACAGCAATTCAAAAAGGTAATTTAAAAAAGCATATAAAAACTCATAATAAAATAAAGGAATTGAAATGTTTATTTTGCAAATATCAATGTGATTTAAAATGTGATCTGGACAATCATATTATATTTAAACATCCAAATGTGTTAAAAAAATCTAATAATAATTTAATAACTTCCAAACTATATTTATGCGAAAAATGTAATTATAAGACTACAAGTGCAGCATATTTAAAAAAACATGTAAAACAATGTAACTTTTTTTTAATAATAGTATTAAAAAATTTAAAATGTAAAAATGTTTAAATTTTATATAAAAAAATAATGTATTAAATTAATTAATGCTTATGTTTTATTAAAAAAATTATTATTTTGGGTAATAATGGATCCTTATTAAAATTTTAAGAATTTTACTGTTTTGGTAATTTCTTAAGTAGGTATACCCAAAGATAATACACCCCATAGATTGGAAACTCTTCCATCACTGCCCTCTAGAGCTACAATACCTGAACTATATCTATTTGTAAATTGCAGACATCTGTACAAACGCTATTTGCAAATGTCAATCATAATTATTGATGTCGATCATAATTTTAACTATTAAACTATTAAATACATTTTTGTGCCTTAAAAGTGATAAAAGTTTTATCACTTTTATCATAAAACGTGTTAATGGTTGTGAAATGTATTGTTGTTGGGCGCGGATATGTAACCAATTTGTAAGTATTGACTATCCTGCCTTCCTAAGCCAAAAAGACTCATCTCGTTATTATTAAATTATTCTCTTAAAAAAAAAGACGCATTTTAACTATACATGCATTTTTAAGTACTCCTAAAAATTTCTAATTAAATTGAACGTATCTTAGAAAAAAACAATAAAGCGCTATAATTTATAAAGTAAAAATGTAGTGTTGCGTCTTTTTGGCTAAGCACGGCAGTATCACTCTAGCGTAAAAATAGAGTTTGTTAATTATGAATTATTTAGGATTGCTCGTTTAATGGTAATTTAGTCCAGGCCAAGCCCAGGCTACTTATGGTTGTTTCAAAACCAATAGTTGGCAAGATGGATTTTTCACGGTTGGTTAGAACTTGCCAAAAGTCCACACTCAAAAGCCTTGTACAAATTCCTATATGTATAAGTAGCCTGGACGAAATTACCAAATTTTGCAATAGGTATTCTCTTATTATTGAAGAATTAAGACTAATATTTTTTAGGTTTGCACTCCACAAACAAAAACATATTCATGTATACCGATTATGTATTTAATATGTACATATGTATGTATTTTATTTTATATTATTACTACAATAATATATTATTACTACAATAAATAAATCTTATATTCATACTTGTTTTATTTAAAATACAGCAGTAAATACAATATATAAAGGCACCCTACGAAGCATCAATATTCAAATAAGGCGCCAAAATATGTTACAGAAATCTACCTCAATTTTTGGCATTGCTATTGTAGACCTAGATGGCGTTAATTTACTTTAGCCTTTTGCCGCTACCGCTAGTGCAGTTTCCAATCTATGGGGTGTATTATCTTTGGGTATACCTACCATACGGTTCGGCAAACTCTAAAATAGCAAAAAAAATCATGTGCAGCATCGTACCCGTGGTAGAAATGAAACTTCTTATAAACTAGGAAATGTGAGAAATTTTAGTTGTGTAGGCGTGGGAGGGCCCTGAAATAAAGTCGAACTTATTGAAACAGTCCAGAAGAAATTTTTACGTTACCTTTAATACAAAGAGACTTCTGAATTTGATTATTTAGCACATTATTCGGATTTACTTAATGCATATGACTCGAATTAAAAAAAAAGAAGAATTAATATAGTTGTTATATTTTTATATAAGTTGTTAAATAACAAAATTGATAAATCAGCCTTTTTATCTAAGATTCCATTCAGAGTACCACAAAACTGCGATCTATTTTATTTACCAAAATCCAGTACTAATATGTTTATTATGTCACATTTGTTTCAATTGTGTTACTATGGAAACAAAGTTGGTATGAGTTTAGATTTTTTTGAAATGAATTCTGGAAACTGCTTCTGGTAGTCTTGTGTACACAGGTTTTTCGATCCATAAAATGAAATTGTTCTGTTTTCTATAGGTACTATTAGGAACCCACTAGAAGTGTTTGTGATATTAGGCTCTAAGAAAGTTGCTGCATCACTAGCAACATTTACTGTACTGGATGTGCAGGATCTGTCTGCCATGGCACATGGTTATTCTAAAACGAAATAGGAATTTCATCTTATGTATTTAGAGGCGAATCCTAAAGATTGCTGAAAGTCCTAAAGCAATATATACTTTCAGATCGCCCTGCAAGGATATCATGATGGTACTAAAAGAATAGACTACTAATTTTTGGCTTGTTAATTTGACAAATAACTATATAAATAAATATTTTCGATTGCATTTTTTACTAAGTACTTACTTTATACGTAGTTTATGGTATATTTTACTATTATATAGATAACTGAACTGAATATGCTTAACAGGAATATTCCTAAATAAACTTTCTATAGCAATTACTAGCATATGTTTAGAGTAGACTAATATTTACCACTAAAACTTTGCACCTTCTAAAAACCTGCCTATAGGCCAGTAATAATATTCTTAGGATCATGCTATATGTCTTTTAAGCATGTTCTTTAGAAGAAATATAGCATGATCCTAATAATATTCTCACTGGAAGGTTTAAAAAACATTCTTAGAACATGCCTAGAAGAAATATAGCATGATCATAAGAATATTCCCACTGGAAGATTTAAAAAACATTCTTAGAATAAAGTGTGCTATCAGGGATACCTGATACATTCCATGCTATTTTTTGGCACATCGTTACTTCACATATTTAAACATAAACATCCCTAATTTTAGATCTAAAATAAATGATGGCGATGAAGAAAGTGACAATTCTGGTAATGGAAATGAAAGGGAAGATTTTATTTGCAATATTAAAGAAGACTTTTCTAAGGAAGGTGATAAAAATGGCTCGCGCAATGAAGAGAATGAAGAAAAAGATGAGGATGAAGCGATGTTTGAGACGAAAATCGAGGTGGAAGATCATGAGGTTCAATATGATGATACAAGTGGCAAAGAAAAGTTGTTTAAATGTGACCTCTGTCCCAAAAAATATAAACGTTATAATTCTTTATTTGTACATAAAAAGTATATTCATGAAAAAGACGGACTGAAAAAATTTAAATGCAAAATATGCGAGTATGTAACTTTAAGAAAAAGTAGTTTAAAACTTCATTTAAAAATTCACGACAAAAAAAAATATTTAAAATGCCATTTTTGTGAGTACAGCGCTGCTGAGTTAAGAAATTTAAATGCACACATCTTTAGCAAACATAAATTAGAAAATAAAGGAGACAATAAAATAAAAATAACAAGTAAAATTTATAAGTGCACCAAATGTTTATATTCAACTGTTAGAAAAAATGATTATGATTATCACATATTTTCATGTTTAAAATTAAAAACTGATAAATTGCATAAATGCCCTATTTGTCATTTTACAGCTATTCAAAAGAGTAATTTAAAAAGGCATATAAAAACTCATAATACAATAAAGGAATTAAAATGTTTATTTTGCAAATTTCAATGTAATTTAAAATGTAATCTGGACAATCATATTATATTTAAACATCCGAATGAGTTAAAAAAATCTAATAAAAATTTGATCACTTCCAAACTACATTCATGCGAAAATTGTAATTATAAGACTACAAATACATCTAGTTTAAAAAAACATGTAAAAAAATGCAAATTTTCTTTAGATAACTAATAAATATAATTATAATATTAAAAAATGTTAAACGTAAAAATGTTAAATGTTATATAAAAAATAAAGTGTTAAATTAATTAATGGTTACGTTTTATTTGAAAAAATCATTTGAGGGTAATAATTAGGACTGTCAGAAGTATTCGCTTAACCGGTTAACTGTTTTTTATTTTTCATAAAAACCGTTGTCAATCCATATGAAAACGCCGTTGCTCGACCATCTTGGATTTTGCACAAATTTTATGGAAATATTCATTAGGGTCCCAAAGGACAAAATCCACTCTTATTTATTTTTTCGCATGTGTCAACTCCGGCCTAATCGATTTAAAACTTTTTAAAAACGTCATTTTTATACTTACTTTAATAATTTAAGCTGTATTTTTTTTCTATTAAAGATATTTTAAATTTTAAGATGTCATTTTAAAGCTAAAAAATAGTAGTTTTTATAAAAAAATATATAAATTCACTCAATCAATATTTCTACACGGTGCTGAAAACACGTGTATTTTACTAATTTTTCGTGTTTTTTTAAATGCGTCCCATATCTCGCTTGTTTAATATAAACAGCAAATTTTTTTCATATTTAAAGTTTACATACCAAAGACAAAATAAAACTTACAACTGACCCGTTTGCACGGAAAAAAATTAAATTAAATTTTACAACAACCATATTGTAAAAAAAATGTTTAATTATTTAATACAATTGTTTTGAAATTAACTAAAACTTAAAGCATTTATATCAATGTATAATTTATTTAAAGTACACAATTTTGGAGCACGGCAAATCTGTATTATTTTTAATAAAGAATGGCATTAATCAATATAATATTTTAATAAAATATATGGGTTAATCCACATTAATGGGACAATCAAACAAATTTTTTTTTTAAATGTAATGTTAAAATTAATGTTTAAAATTTTGCTTATCAGTATCACTGATGATGCCCGAAGACAATCTGATGTGTAGCCGAAATCAAGTACTAATTTAGGATTTTTCAGGTATTTTAGTTTACATGTTGGTACGGAGTTGATGGTTCCCAGATAGCAAAATGTAGTCACGATGCGCGCACAGTGAGTTCACGCGTGCGCGCAGATTACTACACAGATGCGCTTACATATGCGTCTCATATGCAGCGCACGTGTGCTCACGCATTTCCAGCGAACATGAATGAATAAAAAAAAGTTGAATATTTCAAAAGGAAATGCATATATAACGACGGGTTTAATGCAAAATGGCACAAGCGCCAAATTTTTCGAAAAATATCTATAGATATATAAATATATATTCTCTTTTAGGTTTCCGCGGGCGTTATATGTATTAACCATGGTACATGAGATTGCACCGAAACGTCGTCAGACATACGGTTATTTTTGTAATTATAAGGTGAATAAAAACGAAATCTACTGTTTTTTTATAGTCTGGCATCACTGCCGATAAGCACAGTGTAAGAGATCATTGATCACGTCGTGCGCTCATACTGCGCTCATCGCGTGGGCGCGCACGGCTATGCTACTCATATGCGTGTGAAATCGACCACATGACATGTGGTCGATTTCACACGCATATGAGTAGCATAGCCGTGCGCGCACATGTGTGCGTTCTCACGCCGTGCGACCTACGTGAGACGCACGATTGCTATCTGGGTTTGGTTACGGTGTTGATTTTTTTAGCAATTTTTAATTAAATTTTATTTTAAACTTGAGTAATATAAACCGTAAAAATGATATGATATATGTCTTTATATTATGTTACAATTTACACTGTAAATTCAGCATGAGGCAATATTTGTCGTCAACACCATACTTAGTAAGTAATGGATAAAATCAAGGATCCTAAAAATAATTAAAAAATAAACCTGTGACTCATTAAGGATCTCACGTTGCTCATCAAAAGTGAAACACTTATGCGTGCCACAGTGACATCACTGAATGAATCAGCAATGTCTTAAATGTTCATAATTGTTATCTGGGATAGTAAGGACTAAATATCCTGTAAGGACTAAATATCCTGTAAGTTTTAATGAAAATTAAACAATAATCGTTTTTTAAATTTCAATATGTTTGCTTTTATTAAAACCGGTTGTCGGTTAAATCAAAATGTTGACATGTTTGAAACCGGTTTTCGACCGGTTCAAAACCAACTTTTGACAGGTTAAAAGTCGATTTTTAACCTTTAAAAATAGATTTTTTCGACCAGTGAAAATTCTATTATCTGCATAGCAAACGGAAAAATCTAGAAGTGTATTGGATGACGCCACGTTTGAATACAGTTTTCTAACCTTGCCACGGTATAGAGTTGTATTCGTCAGTCGAGCGTTTCAATACTCTCCACAGTATAGAGGTCGTAATTTCACTTTTGAACTAGTATTATTTTATTCTTAAAAAAACTATATACGACATGATTGTGATTTTTTTCATTTTATTAATTAATTAAGCTGTGTTAAATATTTTTCCTAAAGGAATAATTGCCAATGGGCCATTAATTCATTTGTTCGTAGATGCTACAATAACCTGCACTGGTGTGTACTTTTTCATCAAACAGATTTAAATATTGCTGTACTAACATATACCAGTGGAGATAGTGCAGGGTCTACCAACAGACCTAATTACTAAATTATTAAAGTTTAATAGCATATCGATCATTTTTTCAACATAACCTCTGAAATTTTTAATACAAATATAGGTTCTTTATATAATACATAAATATACTTAACATCATATCCTCTGTGCTTTACATACCTGAGTTGTTACGGTAAATAAAAATCAGACAAAGGAACCAAAGAAACTATTTTCAACAAAATCATATGCAGAAATGAGAAAATTCAAACTACTTGCATCCATCAAAAGATCAAAACTTCTTGCAATATTACACCCTCTTTTTATACTCTCAGAAATATTGACTAGAACAGTATTAGAGAGACTCCAGTTTCTATAACTTGGTAGAGTAAAGAGAAGTCGAAACCGTTGCGATATTGCATTGCGCTGTTTTTGTATAATTCTCGGGGACATTAACGAAAATCATTGCCAGTAAAATTCGAAAAGCTTGAGTTTCTATGTCTTTGAAGAGAATAGAAATCCATTGGACTGAACCCTTTTTTAATAATTTCTAGAGACATAAATGACTGCACCATTCGACAGGGTCGAGTTTCTACCTCTCTGTTGAATATAGAAAATCAAAATAATGTATCTTGTAAGACACCATTGAGTTTGACTTTAAATATAGTCGTGCATAGGTATAGAGCCAAAAAATATAAAAACAAAGCACGATTCAATACAGTTCTGATAAAACTTTAAGATTTCCCTTGCGGCCTTGAGTTTACGGTTTATTCACCGTGAATTCACTGTGAATTTACCGTGAATTCACCGTGAATAAACCGTCTGTTTGTGACATTTGTAAACGGTAGTTAGACGGTGAATTAACGCACTTTTCACAGTATTTTAATTGTGAATCCACCGTATTTTGGCGGTATATTCACGGTGAATTCACAGTGAATTCACGGTGAATAAACCAATAATAATAACACAATCGACTATGGCTATAGCCATTATTCGTTACTGAGCAGATGAGGATGGAGATGGAGTGGATATACATTAGATGTACAGTGGATATACTTTAGACACACATTATTTATCCATTGGATATATATTAGAGATACTTTGTTGAAATTGGTTTAATAACGATTTAAATCATATTTATTAATCATTACATAAATTTATCCTATAAGGAGCTATTTTAAAAAAGAAAAAAATATTTTTAATGTTTTTGTTTTTTTTGAACATCCAGTATGGATATCCATTGGATATCCAATGGATATCGTAAAAGGCATGGATGTTATATGGACATTGGGATAGCCATTGGATATCCATTGGATAGCGTGTTCTGCATGGGAACAGAATGCATTTTTTCTACTCCTATTACGGAATTTGACCCTTTTAATATCACTTTTATCTATGGAATGACATATATTCCGTAAAGTGTTACAGAATGAAATATTCTATCATCTGATGACAGAATAAACACTCGTGGCTGATATGTATTGTATTAGGTATGTTGTTCATTCAAGCACATTTCTTAGTTACTTAGATTTATTATCACATGAGTAAGTATGCCATAGTACATGTCTTGTTCGTCTCTTACAGTCAACTGGTTTACCCGGCACCTCTAATAGGACATGCGCCTTGTAGCGCTACTATACCGGGCGTACACTACAGATAGTGTACAGAGCGTACACTACAGTGGCGACATCTCTGTTTTTAATATCTAACAAATTTTAGACCGATCCAACCTCACTTTCTTCCAATTAAATTATTTTTCTATGGTATTTTTTAGAAACGTAGACAAAGTATAGTCTGAAACACGTTTGAAATTGCAATTGTATTCCAAACTTGTTACAGAATATACTATTATGGAATATGACCGTTCAAATATCACTTTTTAATGTGGAATGACATATATTCCTAAAAGTGTCACAGAATGAATTATTCTATCATCGGATAACGAAACACTTTTAGAACGATCCAACCTCCTTTCTCCCAATTAAATTAATTTTCTATAGTATTTTTTGGAAACGTGGAAAAAGTATAGTCTAAAACACATTTGGAATTGCATATTCCGCATATATTGGAATATACGAGGGCAAGGTGAAAAATTTTCGGCCTATATAGTAAAGAAAGACGGTGCTTTTTTGCTCAAAAATGCATTTATTTTTCTACATAGTCTCCATTTAGTTCAACGCACTTTGCCAACGTTTTTCCAATAAGTGGATTTCATCCCTGAAGTGGAATTCTGGAAGGTCTGCAAAATACGCATATACGGCTGCCATCACCTCTTCATTTAATGCAAAACGCTTTCCAGCCACAATTTTTTTTAGATTTGGGAACAGGTGGAAGTCAGAGGGAGCCAAATCTGGTGAATACGGTGCATGTTCCAATAATTCGTACTTCAGATCCCTCAGTTTTCCCATTGCCAAAGCACCTTTGTGAACAGGTGCAATCCAGGCCTCTTCTCACGAATTTTTTCATCTAGTTGGTCCAGGACACTTGCGTAGTATTCGCCATTTATTGTTTTTCCTTTTTTAAGATAATCAATCAAAACAATTCCTTTTGCATCCCAGAAAACACTGGCCATGACCTTTCCGGCAGACAAAATCGACTTTGCCTTTTTTGGTGCAGAGCCACCTGCTTCCACCCATTGCTTCGATTGCTGTTTGGTTTCTGGGGTGTAGTGGTGGACCCACGTCTCATCCATAGTAACAAATCGGCGCATAAAATCGGTTGGATTCTTTTTAAAACGGTCCAAACATTTTTGAGAAATTTGTTTTCGCATGAGTTTTTGGTCAGTGGTTAACAAGTGCGGCACCCACCTTGCACAAAGTTTTTTCATACTTAATTCCTAATGTAAAATGTACCGTACCCGTTCTTCTGAAATGCCTATGGCCCCAGCTATCTCATACACCTTTAATCGCCGATCGTCCAATACCATAGTGTGTACCTTTTCGATGTTTTCCTCTGTGGTTGCACTTTTTGGTCGTCCTTCACGTGGATCATCTTCAAGTGATGTACGACCACGTTTAAATTCAGCAGCCCATTTCTTCACTGTCTAAAATGAAGGGACATACTCCTTATAAACCTTTACCAACTTTTCATGAATTTCCGTTGGCGATAAACCGTCCAAAACAAAAATTTTTATGACGGCACGATACTTCAGTTTATTCATTTCAACGAAACGCACACAATGTGTTTACTTGAAACAGCCGTAAAAAAAAGCTGTCGGCCGATCACCTTGAAACTTTGTGTGTGTATTTGTAACATATGTAGCAATATTCCTGCAAATAAATACATCGATAGCACTACCCTCTTTGTGAGGCCGAGAACTTATCACCTCTCCCTCGTACAGTATTCCAAACTTGTTATACAGAGTATACTATTTTAGTAGTATACTAGTAATAGTTAGGCACTTATATATTTATGGGACCCTGGCGAATTCACTAAACGCAAAATTAACGTTAAGTAGTGCCCAAGTATCACCCATAATTAACTCAAAATTAACGTTGATTTTGGGTTAAAATCTCGTTTCTTAACGCAAATTCGACGTAATTATTTGCAGTTTTGTGCCGATTTAGGATTTTGTGTTAAGTTTAAGTTTATTTTTAGTTAAATTTCCGTTGAATTTGCGTTGAATTTACGTCAACTTTGAGATAGGTTTGCGTTTAATTTGGGTCAGTTTTCCGTTAACTTTGAGTCTACTTTAAGTTAAGTTTGCGTTAAGTTTCGATTCATTTAACGTAAACTAGTTTGTGATAAGTTTTTTATTTCTTAACCCAAATTAAACTTATTGCCATCAACTATATTAACATTTTAGGGTTGATTTATATTGATTAATTGATAACACGTTTTTTTATAGACTTACCTTAAGCTTTGCTACAAAACGGTTAACCACCCTCAACCGTGACAGGGACGCAGTCCATGTTTTTTTTAAGCTGGGATTTTAATGAAAACTCTATTTTAAAGTATAAAAATAATTTATTATAATACATATATGTATATGTATATATACACTACATATACCTCCTACATATATTACCTACTATAATAGTAAACAAAAAATAAATTATTTAAATTGCGAAGCCAGCTCTCATGCGTTGAACTCCCAAAGGCATATCTGAAAAACAAAAAATAAAAAAATTATTATATATTTTCTTCTAAATGGTTATTTACAACTAAGAAATTAATGTAAAAATCAAAATCGACTCAAAACGAACGCAAATTCAACGCAAATTAAACGCAAATGTTTGATAAAAATTCATTTATTATTACGTTTAATAATTTATTTTTATTTGTTTTTGAATCAAGCAATTAATGTAAAACCTAAAATAACTTAATAAATCTAATATATTATTATTTTACCGACTTTTAATAAAAAATCAAAATTTACTCAAAACGAACGCAAATTCAACGCAAATCCAACGCAAAAGTTGAAGACTGAATTTTTATAAAAATTCATTTATTATCACGTTTAATAATTTATTTTAATATGGGTTTGATTCAAGCAATTAATTTAAAACCAAAAATAACTATAATAAAATCTAATATATTATTGTTTTACCGACTTTTAATAAAAAATCAAAATCGACTCAAAACGAACGTAAATTCAACGCAAATCGGTTACCTAATCAATCAATTTTAAGTCTATTTATAGTTAATTTTTTGGTTGTTATCGCAAAACTTACGTTAAATTTTAGTCAAATTTGAGTTAAGTTTTGGCTCAACTTAACGCAATTTTTTTGCGCCAACTGTACGTTAAAATCTAATATTTTAACTCAAAAAAATGGCAACTTGCGTTAAAATTTATTAAATCAACGCTAAATCAACGCAAAATTTACGTAAATTGACCGTTCGGTGAATTCGCTAGGGGAACCTAGTTTGTATGTTTTTTATCTAATTTTCTATCTTTGAGGTAAAAAAATATAAGCTATAAAACAAACAAATAGGTATATTAAACTAAAACCTAAATTATTTCTTTATTTATATATCTGTGACAAATAATTTGTGTATACAAAAGAAAAGTACCTACTCTAAAAAACTCATACTAAGGATCCGTGAACTGATAATAAATTTATATTAACTTGTAATGGTATTGTTAAGCTATTTTAAAATTTTGTAAATGCAAAAATGTATACTTGCCAAGTGAAAAACTGTAAAAACAATGCAAAAAGAAAAAAACCTGTAAAAAAAATTTTAAAATAGCTTAAAAACAACAGATGCGCAAGAACTTGTACCATGGAGTCCATGGCATGGACCTAATCTATATAATACGACTTTAGATAAACGTAGCTATTATTTTTAAGTTTAAAAACTCAATGTTTAAGCTCTCGTATCATTTTAAATATTTAAGAGAGATTTTTTTTCTTTAGATCATACACCTTTAAGGGGGGTCGCGACTTCTAAGACGCCTTGTATATACTACATCATTCATAAAAATGTTTTATAAACAATACCATTACAAGTTAATATAAATTTATTATCAGTTCACGGATATCCATAAAAAATGCATTATCAGTTAACAAAAGGATATATTTGAGGTCGCTAATCTAAGAAAATCGCTTTGCAATTTTGAAATGCTTATAAGCCGACTAACCGTTTCAAAATGAAGTGTTATATCTTTAACCTTGTGTTTTTAGCAATGTTTGTCTATCAAACGTCTACTGCTGTAAGTACCTACTATTTAGTAAATATAAATAAACTAGGCAACAAAAATAAAGTAGCACCCCGAAATTTTACCATTTAATAATTGCTTCTCTCTTTAATCGATTTAATGGTTTCCTAATTTTTTAACACCCTGTAGATAAAATCCAAAATTTGTTTGATATTTTATAGACAATTAAAACCTTTTGTTAAGAATAACTAAAAAAGTTTCTCTTTTGTAAACACAATCCGGGGACATACTGTGTATTATTATTTTTTTTTATAAATATATTTTTGCCTATGAGGCGCCGATTGTGACAATTTGTCACTGACAAATTTAAAGTGCTAAATAAAATTATTTTGCTCTATAAATAATTAATTATATGCATTATTTCCCAAATTATTTTTTATGAAATTATTATTTATCAAATTATTTCTTTAACAAATTATTTTTTTATCAAATTATTTTCTATGCGAATCAAAAGTAATGACGACTTTTTTATCAATAAATTTTTACGGGTGACATTCACAATATCGAAATTCATTATATCGAATTCAAAATATCGAACACTTTTTATCGAAAATCAAAATATCGAAAATACAAAATGTCGAAAATCAAAGTGTCGAAAATCAAAATATCGAAAATTCAAAATGTCGAAATGAAAATATCGAAATTTTATTTAATCGAATTTTCAATTTATCGAAAATAAAAACTCGACCGCTGTCATACAGGTTATGACGAATAGCTGCCATCTTGGTTATGCAGGTACACTGCATTGTGCCATACCAAACCAACCCAAACTTAACAACCCAACCCAACCGACCCCGCCCCATTGGGCCCCTCCCGCCCCATTGAGCAATAGAGGTATAATATATCTAAGGGCAGGCTGGATTGTGACAATGGGGCGGGAGGGGCCCAATGGGGCGGGGTCGGTTGGGTTGGGTTGTTAAGTTTGGGTTAGTTTGGTATGGCACAATGCAGTGTACCTGCATAACCAAAATGACAGCTATTCGTCATAACCTTGAGGAATACTTTGCTACATTTAGCCTCTAGTTGAAGATGAGGTTAAAATATGCGACGGTCGAGCACACACTTTTCTACGTCCGTCCGACGGTCGGGGAGACACTACCTTTAATTATTCGAGATTTTCAAATCGACATTTTAATTTTCGATATTATCATTTTCGACATTTTGAATTTTCGATATTTTGATCTTCGACATTTTGTATTTTCGATATTTTGATTTTCGATAAAAAGTGTTCGATATTTTGAATTCGATATAATGAATTTCGATATTGTGAATGTCACCCAATTTTTACTTCAGCTTCTATGTCAACCTTTAATGCTAACAACCATGTCTATGACACGCTGCTTTAGTACTTTAATGATGTTTTAACAGAAATTTGCAAAGTTAAATTTTTTAAAACTCAAAACAGTTGATATATACAACTATAAAAGTTTAAGCTTAAAAATATAGTTTTTTAAAAATTTTAGATCAAATATTGTATCCTACAAAATTTTTGGTTTAAATTTGTAAAGAGTCATTTAAATGATAGTCGATAAATTTTTAATATAAAATGTCTCTAAAATACCATATCGCCTATTGAGAAAAAAATGTCCCTAAAATAGTTCGCATCTATATGAAATAGGCCAATTATTGCCCAATGATGTATCACAAATTGAATTTAACAGAAATGGGCAATTATTGGCCATTCATTGATTTCTATATAATTGGTCAATAATTGCCCGTAAAGGCGGTCGTATCTGTGCCCAATAATTGCCCATTTTGAAATGGACAATTTTTGGGCATATATTGGGAAGTTTGTGCTTATTGGGATATATTTAAACTGTGTAAACTGTACAACCTCAATACTACCCTTGTGGAAATTTTTCTCTGAGAAAGTCTTACTTTCTCTTAAAAAGTCTGAATAATACTTATTAAGTCGGAAAAAGTCAGAATAAGACTTATTAAGTCGGAAAAAGTCTGAATAAGTCTAATAGCAAGATTTGGGAGTCTTCTGGAAGAGTTAATAAGACTTTTTGCTGTTGTTATAAGCCAAGTTTATTGCATAATTACCTATATAATAACATATGTAAGATGTAATAATTATAACAATTATAATTTTATACATACGATGCGCTTGACATGCTTTCATTGTTTTGCTGTTGTTATAAGCCAAGTTTATTGCATAATTACCTATATAATAACATAGGTAAGATGTAATAATTATAACAATTATAATTTTATACATACGATGCGCTTGACATGCTTCCATTGTTTCCACCATAGAAAAAGGAGTTAATATAATGTCTATTGACATGATATTTTCGATAGACTCATAAGACAAATATGGTTGATCTTCGTGTTTCATTCATCTTTTTATCATGGTTGATCTTCGTGTTTACGTACAGTGTTGCCATAAAAGTTCCTGACCATAAATTACAAAATCCTAAAATAATAATAAAAATGTAACACGATAGAATAAAATAATTTTGCATATTTAGTAAATATACAATATTATTTACTGAAAATTTCTTTTGTTATTATTTTGATAGAAATTCGCAAATCACCCGATTTCACCCGCAAATATTACGAAAATACCCGATTTTCGAGTAAAATACTTGCAAACGGCAACACTTTGTCCCACTGACAGGTCAGCTGTGCTCTAATTGGTCAGCTAGCTGAGCTGGTCTCTCGATATTACGTCTAGAAGATTTGTTTGTAACAATGTTTAGATAGGTAAATATTAAAATAAAACGTACAGTGGCAACTCCTTTTCCTATGGTGAAAACAATGGAAGCATGTCAAGCGCATCGTATGTATAAAATTATAATTGTTATAATTATTACATCTTAGCTATGTTATTATATAGATAATTATGCAATAAACTTGGCTTATATACCAACAGCAAAAATGTTAATAAATACTTTTCTATGTGTTTTATTTTACGATAACCAAATACAACCTCTATGAATTATTTCGGATATTTATTTTTATCGCCATAGGTACCTACCATTTCTCTACTAAAAGTCTTATTAAGTCTTAAAAGGTCTTATTAACTCTTCCAGAAGACTCCCAAATCTTGCTATTAGACTTATTCAGACTTTTTCCGACTTAATAAGTCCTATTCTGACTTTTTCCGACTTATTAAGTATTATGTCGGTCGCCATCATGGAGGTCGATGTAATTAGCTCTGAGTTAAATAAGTTCAGAAAATGTGATTTAATTGATATTATTATTTACAAAACCGTTCCAAGTGCCTTGATAGGTAATGCTTTATTAAATGACGTTGTAAAACAGTTATTTCCTAAAGAAATTATGGTAGAAGGTGAAGTTAAATGTAATGTCAAGTGTAGTGCTGTTGAATGTGTAAAAAATAACTTGGAAAATAGTTACCTTAAACAAGAAATAACCAATCAAAAACATTTGATCCACCACCTGGAGGGAAGAATAAGTGATCAAGAAAAGATTAATAAAATTCTGGAATTATATAATAATTCAAAACAAACTAAACAATCAACTCCATCTATGCCTACAACAAATATCCAACAAAAGAATGCAAAGAATGTACCAGTAACATCAATAAATTTAAATAAAAATAAGGCAAAAGAAACTATTAACAAAAAAACGAATAAAGAAGAAACAACAACAGCGCAGACTACTGTAAACAAAACGGATGACGGATATACAAAAGTAACATATAAAAATTCACGCAGAGTGCAGGGTGCAAAAGAAGGAAAAATACAGGGTGTTGAAAAGTATGCATATGTGTATGTTGGGTATATTAAGGGTGTAGTGCAGGAAGATGAAATGATGGAATACTTAAATGAAAATTTTCCTAATAACAGCTTCCAAGTAAAAAAACTGGACTCAAAAGGTAACAACAGTAAGTCTAGATCTTAAAATTAAAGAAATTTTGTTTAATGAATCCAAATGGCCGCAAGGTATTATTATTAAGGACTATAAGTTTTTTCGAGGTGCCATCAATAGAAATGAGAGTAGAAAATAATCTAAAAGTATTTCATTGTAATATGCAGGGTGTTGAGAAAAAACTTGATGTTCTTGCTCAATTATTATCAGAAATAAACGCGGATATAGTTTGCCTTAGTGAGCACTGGTTAACAAAATCAGACATTGATTTTATAAAACTGGACAATTTTAATCTAATAAGCTTTTACTGTAGAGAAACTTTTATACGTGGTGGTGTTTGTATTTTTGCAAAGGCTAATTTAAATTTAAGAACCCTGGTTTATAATAAATCAATTGAGAAGCATTTTGAAGTGTGTGTTAGTGAATACAATAGTGGCAAGTTAAAAATCTACATTATTTGTGTATATCGTTCACCCAATAGTGATTTTAATGTATTTATTGAAAAATTTCAATATATATATAATATTTTCTTGCACTACATCTCCCTTTTCCTAAGAATGGACTTCTGCGCGCAAACGAAAAACATTCGTATTTACTATAGGCGTTGTGTGAGTAGGTTGAATACCTCGTCTTGGGCTTCCTTAAGAAGCTCGTTTTGTAAAAGGTCGATGCCCAAGGCAGTTTGTCTGCCTGGCCACAGCCCCTTACGTTTAGTGTGCCTATTTTTATGTTGTGTTGTTGCGTACTGTTGTCTAAACTTGTCCTCCCGTTTCCGGTAGATTGTATTTGTGTGTAATTTCTGTTACCGTAGGCTCTTATGTTGGTTATGTTTCCTGCCTCTGTTAAGCAGGGCACCGCGGCTTGTGTCAGTGTTGGCTAGATTTGTACCATACATGACCGGTGGTTGTCGTTCTGCCTGAAGGATATCTTGTCTGTGCCCCCTGTTCGTTAAGTAAGCTTATCGTTGTGTCCTAACCATAGACTATGGTCCAAACACTTCACTCACACACTTTTACGACGTTACAGCACTTCGGGATTTAAACCGGAGCCACACGCACTTTTCGCACTTTTTTAATTTATTTTTTATATTTTTTGGTTTTTTATTTTATTGTTTTTGTTTTTACTTGTATCCGGTAAATTATCTGAATACTTAA